ACTCGATCAGCCCATTCTTGGGCCCGCCCTGCCAAGCGCAAGGATGTAACTTTCAGCCCTTCTTCCCACTAATGTGAATCCCTTCGCCAGGCCATCCCCCCCCCCTTTTAGAGGAAATGGTCTAGCTCCAGTCAGGTTCCATGTGGTTGGAGAACAGCCTCTTGGTCTCCAAACACCACACACCAAGGACTTGAAGTCCAAAGAGTCGAGACCTGAAACTTCCTCCACGAGTTGAGTACAGCTTCACCGAGAAGAACTATCAGTTATTTTCCCCTGCGGCGTTTCCGTGCCATATCTTCCCTTGAAAAGCGGGGCCACCAATGAGGAATAGAGGTACCCTCGCTCTGACCTTCGGCAGGTTGAATCCTACTCTAGGGGGTCATCGGCCCGCCGGTTCAGCTTCCCCTTGTTATACCTGAGAAGCCAGGCTGACACGCAAGCATGTCAAGTCACGTGGCGGAAGCGGCGCCCTGTAATCTTGCGAGGCTTGGCCTGCTTGAGCTTGTCAGGCCGGTGGGCTTTCACCAAAATCGACCTTGAAGTGAGGGCGCTGGCAAGTACCGAGCCGGCACCACATTTGGTGCGAGAGCTTCTTTTGGTCGAGCAAGGATCACCTTTGGCTTGGAAGAAGATGGCACACGTCGAGCCCGCACAATCAGTGGCACGCCTAGGCCATTTTCTGTAGTGGCCTACAGTCCTGCACTCCGTACAGGATTAGGCTGACCTTGACACAATGGAAGCTACGTAATATGTTGATGGGAAAGATTTTAGGTGAAGGCAAAGAGTGCTGCAACGTGCAATGGCGCTTGCGGGCTGTCGTGATCTGCAGTCACTCAGCGATACCGCCAAGAAATCTAACGAATTTGACGCAGCCTACACAATCAAACTTCTTCTCGGGAACAATGCCCATTGGCCACTGCATTCCATAGACGTTTTTCCCAGTTGACTCTTCACACGTTGCCGTAGCAAGAGAGGTGCATCAGCTTCCCTCTAGCTGGTGGTTTGGTTGGCAGTTTGGAGGTTAGGGGTGGTTTCCCGTTTACCTTCCACAAGAACAAAAACATCCCCTAAACCACCAATCCAAAAGATTAACTAAGGGTTGCCTGACTGCTGGAATCCCCAAGAAATAGAAGTCCGGAAACGAAACCCCTGCCTGTATCCAAAACTTGTTGTCGTGTACCCGTACAGCAGTGTACCCTAAGTCACAATCAACATCTGGTGGCGGAGTCTGCTCAAAGCCACGCAACATGCAAAAACTCCAAAAGTTTCTTGCCGCAGTCGTGGTTCGGACTGTCCCCTCTTCTGCACTTGCATTTACCCAGTCGGGCTTTAATTGCGGCTCCCCTGGGAGTGCGCCCCCAATCACGTGCAACCAGGTGTTTTGGCAGGGTGCATGCCCATACAAGCCCATGTTTTTTTTACCAAAAAAAAGGACGGACCCCATCCATCGCTGGTTCCACTCTCTCCCAACTGAGAGCATTCAAGCGCAGTTGCCTCGAGCCACTGCTTGATCTTCGCATTGCCGATCTCCACCCGGGCCTGCCACAATTTAAAAAAACAGTTCCGCATTGCTGGGATAAGAAACAAAGTAACGGGGGCGGGTAGTGTTGAAGAGCCGGGGTGTGACAAGGCAACGTTCCAAGTGGGTTCCAAAATGCGAACTCCCTATTGTTGGAATCATGGCCTTATCTACTCCTCATCTACCGCTTCTCATTGTTTATCCGGTCCATGGCCTTGCCCTTGAGGCCTCATATGCTGAGCTCCAGGGATGGACGTCACCCCAAAGATCTCCTCAAGGGCCTACCAACCCCCAAGCAACCAGGTCTTTTCACCACGCCAGGGGAAGCCTGGGAAAAGATATGAGTGTTGCGCAAAATGGGGGAGGGCGATATACGGGTGCTTACAATCTAGGCACCCCTGTTTCGAGGGTGTCTAGAGCAATCCGACCATAGTTCGGGAGCTGATTCATTGTAGAAACACCCGCAAGAAAGGGATCCTGATCTTTGGGCAACCATTTCTTTTCCCTACGCGGCCTCCTGCGAGATCCCTTCTGGTGGTCAGAAAAAGTCACCCTCCGCATAGAGAAGCCCCCCCCCCTTCTCCCCACCCCCTTTTAGTGGCTGAAAATGGTCCTTCGCCTTAGCAAGCCCCCACCCCCCTGCGCAGACAGTTCCCTCATTCAAGTTTCTTTGCTCGACCGTCTCCGGCATGTTCGCTTCCAGCGACGAGACTTGCTCTTTTTGTTGGTTACTGTTGAAAAAAGACCGTCAACACATGAAAAGCAGGAAAGCAGCTTGGCTTGTTGGCTGAACCAACTTCAAAGGTGAACCCAAGGTTCGGTTTCCCTCTAAACCAACTTCAAAGAGGGGGTGTCCTCAAAGGGGAAGTCGGTGTTGTTGACATCATCAAACACGGCAACCTTTCTGCTTGCTGGTTCTCAGCCGGGAATCGCTTGCAATGTTTCCCACCATTGAATGCACGTTGTTTCCGAGAAGCAGCTAGTTTGGACCAAAATGGGTTTTGTTTCTGCCAACTCCAACAAGAACAACGCCCCAATCACACTGAGGAGACAAAAATAGACAAAGGCAGGAAGGGTATTGGGGGTGGGGGGTTGGCTTGTTCTTTCTTGGGGTAGCAGTAGAAACCTTCTGGGACGTTCCAACCGAGCCTCCGAGAAAAAAAGAAAAGAAAGAAGAAAAAACCGAAGTTCTAGCCGACGCACTGTCCCCGTCCGACCCGTCCAACCCGTCCGCGCCAGCTCTGCGGAGCCCACCACCTGCGAGTTTTCCGCAACAAATGGTGGGCTCGTCCAAGCGGCATAACACGAAGACTTCCAACCAAAACCCATGGGCGGCCTTGTCCAACCACTTAGGCAAGTCTTGCTCAACTCGCGCGGATGCTAGGGAGAGTTTACGATAGTGCCAAGGTGACCTCAGACCTGGGGGGTCCAATGGAAAAACAAGGAAACTCACCCCTTTGTTTGGAAGCTTAGAAGAAACATAACTCTGTCGCATGCTTCAAGCCTCAAGCTGTGCCCTGTCCCTCAAAAGAAGGCCCTTCACTGGGAAAGGCCAAGAGCTTCTACACTTAAAGCATTCAATCTGAGAGGCTCACGTCGGATAGACCAACCGTGACTGGACTGGACTGGCAGCTCCCTGAAAGGTCTCCAAGCAAACGAACGAAAGGCTCGAAACCAGACACAACCGATTTTCGCGGTTGGGATGAAACGAGAAGCTCAGGCACAGCCTCCCAACGAATGCTCAAGCCTAGAGCTGTGCTTTTTACCAGCAACTGGCTCCACAAAATACTCAAGCGCCCTTTTCTACCCCTCAACCAAAAGCTGCCTCAATCATGACTATACTTCGCCAACCTCAAGGCAACCCTGAGTAAGGGCCCCCAGGTGAGCTTCTCATGGTTAGGGCAGATCCATGTCTGCTTCGCATGTAGCTCAGCCCTCTGTTAAGCCTTGGCTACGACGGGGACAGAGCAAGGAGCCCTTCATCGTCTGAGCTGCTGACTGCATCGGCGATGTTTAGTGTCCGAAAGAAACCAAACAGACAAACAAAATCACTGCATGTTCTGCTCCAAAAGTTGACAATTTTTCTTTGGCTTCCGCCCGCGTTGGAGGTCCAACCGGCATGCTCCAAAGACCCTGGCGGGAGGAGAGAAATTCGGTCCGCCGGCAAAGGGAAACGAACGGAAACAAGCCTCCATCCCCGAAGGCGGGCCTTCTGATTATGGACGAAAATGAACAGCTTCTCCTCGTCATCGTCCTGGCGTGCGCGTCGCAGTTCCCAAGCCGCAGATCCCCCTTTCGCGCAAAAAACAAGTTGCTCGAGTCAATGTTGAGTGGGGGTCGGAAGCCATCAAGTCGACCAAGGAGTAACATGGTGGCCCAAGTCGTGTGATGTTTTTACCATCTGTTTCCATGCAAGCGCGTCATTCTTGCCGCGCTTGATTTCCCACAAAACTCCGCCCGTGAGCTATGCTCAATATCCTTCCCGTCTGATGGTTTCCTGCGCAAGTAGGAGCGCACTCTTGCCAACCACTTGACAGATGCGAGGTGTGATCCGCATCGCTTGTACCAAGAGAAAATATAATTGACCCGCTTGTAGATGGCGACATACATCATGAGTGATTGCCGCTTACTCGCCTTGAACAAGGGCGCCCTGCTTTGGGACACTTCCCTCTATTGCCGAGCGCGGGTTTCATGCCAAGTCACGGCAAACAGGCACCGAATTCGCAAACCCACCCAACCCCTTCCTCCCCCCCCCCCCCCACCCGCGGCTCATGACCCGAATGCAACTGCTGGCCGTCGGCACGGGCCCTAGATACAAATCAGTTCGGAGGCCAAGCGGAAAAAAACATGTTCTCAGGAAAGCTTCGGGTCGCTCTTCCTGGAAGTTCGACGGGTTGGTCGAGCTGCAGAAGTGTTTTTGCTTCTGCAGCGACTGGGAAACCCCGATGCTCCCAGACCCTTTGAAAGCCAGGCGTCCAACCAAAGGCGGATAATTCAGCCGAGAAAGAAAGAGATCAATACAGACCAAAGACCCAACGCCGCTGAGGCTCCGGTGAGATATCCTTTGGTTCACAATTCCATGGAATGCACCAAAGCGCCTCTGTTGGAGGACAATGATCCTCGAGTCAGCTTCCAGGGTGGGAGGGTGCTCAGGCGGTGTTGTTCTTCAGTCCGCTGACACCCAATGCCTCTCCCCCCCCCCCAAAAAAAAAAAAGCGCCGCAGTCCACTTTCTAAGGCGCTGAATGGAGATCCCCACGCCCACGGCCAACCGTGGCCAAGGCCGCAGAAGGCGCTTGCACAATAATTCGTCGGCCAACGGCCGCTTTCAGACCATTGCTGGTGGCTGAGAACCGAAAAAGCCAATAGTACCAAAAACCACACCATCAAGATTGACCATAATAACTACCGCCATGTCTTCGCACACACACACACACCACAGCCAGACTCACTCGAGTCACTCTCACTCCCACCAGACGGCTTCACGCAGCATCCGGGCCGGCGACGGCCTGCAAGGCCTGCAGCGCTGCCTGCGATGCGGCTCCCGTCGCCCAACTCGGAGCCCTGTGTTTAGGGTGGGGGTCAAAGGGGGTAATATGTATATAATATATATATATATACACATTATGTATTATATATGTGTAGATATTGCTGGTGGATGGGAGCATAAAATAGAAATGGTCCAACCAGAAGTGTCTTGAAAGGACAACCCTCGAACAAGTTCTGCTTGAGATGGACAAATTATTCTTAGGTTCCTGTCAAAGAGAAGCTCTTCGGAAGAATGATTTCTCCAATTTCCACAGCGAGATTTTGGATCCAACCCAAGAGATCTCCAAGCGATCTCCAAGCTCGGGCTGTAAAAGGTACAATGGGTGTTTCCCAAGATTGGCGACCCTTCAGTGATCAGTCTCCGTTCAGTTTCCCTCATCCAAGCAGCTCTAAAACCCCCTATTCTGAGAAACTCCCAGCTGGTTGAGAGAAGTAGAAAAATATGAATCTGGAAAAATCCCCCCTTTCCGTGATATGGCCATGGGTCAAACTCCCCTACCCCCAGTGAACATCCCAATCCCCACTAAAAAACCAACTCAAATGGGTGGTGAATTCACCTACCAACCAAAATGGGATCCCAAAACGGCTTTGACAACCACAAGTAACCCTGGTAGATGGAACCAAGGACTAAAACCTGCGGTCCCCTGGTGGTCTAATTTTGACCCACAGCCATATGGCTCGTTGTCCCGTTGTTTGACCCTCCAGGGCGCTTCAGCTTTTCAGCGGTCCAACCTCGCGCCTCCACCGCCTGCTTCACCCGCGGGTCCCGGTCCTCCCTGGCGCGCCGCAGCTCCGGCGCGGCCTCGATGCGGCGATTCGGCGGAGGTGTTCTCTTTTGAACGCGTTTTGATTTGTGTTCCAAAAAAAAGAAGAAGCAGAAGAAAGAAGCAAAAAAACATGTTTCTTTAGTTTAGGAAGAAAAAACATCGTTGTATTGAAAGAACACCAAACAAAACGGAAGGGTCCCCATTGTCTCACTAAATCAATCTTGCTGCTTCAACCATGCGGAATGAATCCTATTCTGACTAACAAGACGCAAATTTGATTGGAGACAAACAGTGGGCAAACTCAAACCCGAAATCTCATGACCATGTCTCGGACCCGATTAGACAGGTTTGCTTCCTCAAACGGGCTCTCACTAAATCTTGCTGCTTCAACCATGCGGAATGAATCCTATTCTGACTAACAAGACGCGAATTCCATTGGGGACAAACAGTGGGCAAACTCAAACCCGAAATCTCATGACCATGTCTCAGACCAGGCTTCCTTCCTCAAACGGGCTCTCACTAAATCTTGCTGTTTCGACCATGGGGAATGAATCCTATTCTGACTAACCAGACGCGAATTCCATTCGGGACAAAGAGTGGGCAAACTCAAACCCGAGAACTCATGACGATGTCTGGACCTCACCTCTTGGATAGGCTTCTTTTTCACACATCGGCTTTTGGGGCCAACAATGTCTCCCGGCTCACGCCATGAAGCGATACATATATATATATATATATGTGTATATATACTTTTACCTTCTGGCTCGCATTTCGCGAACCTCCAAATGCCAAGCAAAACCCATCACTCCCACGAAAACTTGCTGGTGCCCGCAAAGTAGAGAGCGTGAAAACGAACCAAGAACCTGGTCCCCTTGAAGGAAACCACACCCATTGGATGGTTTACTAGGTCCACCCCATGGCCAATTTGAAGGACCCCGAGAGAAACCGTCCAACGAGTAAACTGGTGGCTTCCAACTGGTGTGGTTTCCTTCAAGGGGACCAAACCTGGGTTCGTTTTCACGCTCCCTACTGTGTGGGAATGAGAATTGGCTAGGTTTCCCAGTAGTGCCCCTTCCCACCCTTTCTTGGGGGAGGGTTCCCCTACTAAAATAGACCACAGAAAAAAGGGTACCCTTATTCTAACCTCTTTGCAGTCAAAACCCCATACCCCCACTGAACATCCCAATTCCCACTAAAATAAAGCCTTAAATGGGTGGTGAATTCACCTCCAACCAAAATGGATCATTCCAAGTGGTTTTGACCAAAAATCACCCCACTTCCACAAATGGAATCACCCCAAAATGGGATCCCAAAACGGCTTTGACCACAGCCACATCCCAGAAAACGCCCGGTCGCGCCTCCGGCCAGCGGCACCTGCCCAGCGCCTCCGCGGCGCTGCGCCGCACCGTCCATGCCTCACAGTTGGAGGGCCCCTGACATCGCCGCTGATTTTTCGACCAACCTTTGCTTGCAGGTTTTGCTATTTGATTGTTTTTTCTTTTTAGATTTTAAGCCTTTTAGGTTGGTGTTTGAGGTTGCTTGTATTTTTTCAAGGTTTTAAGGTTGGTTTTGAGGTTGCTTTGTTTTAACATGCAGGTGGGTACACAAAGTGGCCAATCTTTGCCACGCGCCTCGTCCGTCAGCAGCGGCACCAGTGCCGGGCCCAGCGCGCCCCCCAGCGCCGGATCGCCGTCGGCGCCCGCGGCGGCGTGGCCGGCGCGCGCCAACTTGCCGAGGCCTGGGAAAGGCAACGGGGCGAATGCGGGGCTTCGTCAACCCAAAAAGTCTCTGGATGGAAACCATGGATGGAAACCATGGATGGATGGATGGATGGATGGATGGATGGATGGATGGATGGATGGATGGATGGATGGATGGATGGATGGATGGATGGATGGATGGATGGATGGATGGATGGGATGGATGGATGGATGGATGGATGGATGGATGGATGGATGGATGGATGGATGGATGGATGGATGGATGGATGGATGGATGGATGGATGGATGGATGGATGGATGGATGGATGGATGGATGGATGGATGGATGGATGGATGGATGGATGGATGGATGGATGGATGGATGGATGGATGGATGGATGGATGGATGGATGGATGGATGGATGGATGGATGGATGGATGGATGGATGGATGGATGGATGGATGGATGGATGGAAACCATGTGAGGTGAGTTGTTCTTGCGAGCTCGTTGCAAATGACTTGTCGTTTCACTTCAGCGGTATCTGCAGGCTTGTACCCGCTCACCTGAAAACGGGGTGCTCATCCGAAACGAGCGCCGGTGGGGTGCAAAGCCGGAAAACATGGGCAGATTTCGCATAACTTTTCACCAAACAAGCAAGCAGGTGGTATCCCAAGCAGCAGCTCTGCCGGAGCCCTTCCAGAACCCTTGAGAGCTCTCCCGACGCAATCTGGGCAAATGGACTTTCAGCTGTCCACAAGTAGACTTTGGGGCCTGGAAATCACAAATCCCCAATTTTGCTGACCGCAATGAGCGGAATAGCCGGAGAAGCTTTGGGCATTCAGGTTCGTCTTCCTTTTGCCCAACCCACCAATATGCCTCATTCAGGCCAAACAAGGCAAAACAGATGTTTGCTGGAGATGTTGCTGGTTGAAAGGGACAGTTCGGGAATAAACCCCCCCAAAAAAAAAACAACCAGTCCAAAGAGTTTGTAAACACTAAGACAGTAAGTGACCAACCGACCAAACCCCCCCCCTCCGCGTCGAACGTCTGCCGCGGAGCCCGCCGCGGCCGCACCGCGCACGTCCTCGTACTCGTCCTCCAGGGCCTGCGTCAGCGCCGGGGCCGCGGAGGCCGGCGCCAGGTTCCCCAGGCCCTCGCAGGCGCCCCAGCGCACCCCGTCGTCCTCGCGGTCGCGCGGCCGTTTTGGGTTTTTTGCGGTCCTCGGCGGAAATTTCGGCGGTTTTCGGCGGTTGGTTGGGGCGTTGTGGGCGGATGTGTTGCTGCTGTTGCTTATGTGTTGGCTGAACCTTGGGGCTTTGTTGAAAGTGTTTGGCTGAAAAACTTGAGGACCTTTTCTGGCTGGCTGAGGCAACCCAAAGTTGGGGACCTGCCAAAAACCAGCCGGTTTTGGGTGAGTCGTACACCGCAAGGTAACATGGAAATCAAACAACAGGCTGGCTCGTGTTGGCTCCTGTGGAACAACCCAATCCCCGCTTTTGAGACACACCCACAGGGTTTCGAGTCTGCATCTTAAAACTGGTACAAACACTGACCGAAATGGTCAAGGATTTGGGCACCGCCAGACGGACTCATTTAGCTTCACCCTTGCGCTTTCGGACTGGACCTTTTCCACCGACCCCATCCACAGGGTGGTTCTAAACATCGCCTTTTGGTTGCCCATGTAAAGTGAGCTTCCGCTTGGGGTCAGATTTGGGAAGATGCATGGAGCCGTGATCTCCAGACACTCTCCTCGTCGGAAAGAAGCGCTATGAGCTCCGGGGTCGAGGCCAGGACCCCCACTTGGCCCAGCGCGCGGGCGGCCTCACACCGCACCTCAGGTGTTCGATTCGCTTCACTGCCCTGCCCGAAACCAGGCGCCTGGAATCTGATGTAACGGTTGCTGCTTGCAGGAGCCATGTCTTTTGCCAACCAAGTGCGCCAGGACATTCCACCACTTGGGCCGGAATCCTGGCATTGCAATCTGACAATGTTCCTGTTCCTGTCCTCGTAGAAAGGCAGCTTCCACCATCCTCAAACCACAACCGGAGATGAGGGGTGTAGTCACGTTCTAGCTGGTTTGGCGGTAGAAACTCCCTAAGGTCAGAATATGCTCTTCAGCATGAAGGACACAAAGAATTAGTAAGCCCCCTTGTTTGTCAGCAGTTGAACTTTGGTGAGTCCCCCCCATGTCCCAAGCCCCAAATTATTGACCATACCCTACTAAAAATGCTGACCAAGCCTCATATGGAAATGTTTTGGGGTTGATCTAAACCGTCATCACCCATCTGAATCAGACAGGATTTGCCAAACCACAACCATTGGACCTGTGAAACTCAACTGGCATAAATGGCAAATGCACAAATGCAACACCCGCAACTGCAACACCTCTTGCAGTGCTCAACATGCGCCGCCAACCAAACTACATGCCGAAAAAAGATATGAATAAATCCCGGGGGCCGCTTCTCAAACCGTTGACAGACTGGATCTAAAACCTCCTGCGATTTGCGCAACCCTGGCGAGCACGCGGGGGCACATCGGGCATTCACAAACCTCCCGCCGCCAACCCAAGCACACCTCAAGTTTTGGCCTATTTGGTCGTAGGTGTTTTTTGGAGGGTGATACGTGCCTCCAGTCCAAAAACCAGGGGAAATGGGGGGGGGGGGGGGGGGTTCTGAGCAGAAGCATGGGAAGAACGTGGGGAATCAACACTGAGAACAGTCACTCAGTTCAATCTGCGCAAGTCTCGAAACTTCCTGCTTCCTGGAACACAAGACAAGTTTCCTCCAACAGGGACCCTTTGGTGGAACCCAATGCTAGCTGGTGGGTGGGTACCAATTATGTTCACAGCCCTGCACGAACGATCCAAAAGCAAAATTGCCTGAACGGCAAACCCGAAGCAAACATGAAGTTAAAGGGTACAATGCACACAGAGTTCCCGCTGAGCTGCAAACGTTGTCAAAAGGGTAAACCCTTACACAGCTCAATTCAGCCGAAAAGGGGGGCAACAGTAGAAAGCCTCCAGCAAAACCTGGTTCACTCCGAATAGCCGCTTTCCGCCTTTTTGGGGGCTTGAAAAATCAGATCCTGGAAGATCGTCGTTGGTGTCCAGATTCGTGGCCTTTTCCTTGTCCAGCCTTCCCGTTCTTGGTCAAAAGAGTAAACCCCTAAAACTGATTTCGCGGTGCACGCGCGGCGGGTTGCATTCCGAGCCAGCCGCCATGAAGACCTCAACACGCGTGTCTTCGTATCTTCGTCCGATCGCCCTGAAGACGCGCGTCTTCGTGTCTGCGTGTCTTCGCCCAATGGCTTTTTGAAGCCCTCAAGCCCTAGACCGCTGAACTTGTGCGTCTTCGCGTTTTCGTGCCTTCGCCTGACGCCCTGACGGCGCGAGTCTTCGTGTCTTCGTGTCTGTGCTGACTCACTGCAGCCTTCACTCAATCACAAACAGTAGTTAGAAGCTCAACCCTGAAAACCTGGCTCCAAATGGTGGTTTAGGGGGGGTTCCCACCACAAGTAACTTCGAGAACCCTCCAAATGCCTCGTTGGTTGCCTGGTTTGATAGCGATTGTAGGATTATAGAAAAGCCCATATCAACCATTTGGCTGATAGAACCATCGCTCGGTTGGACCGCCAGGCTTTTCCGACCCCCCAATGGCGGCCGCGCCGCGGTCGCGTCCGCGTCGCGCGCCGCGGCCCGCAGCGCGGAGGCCACTGCGCCGTCGCCGTCGCTCTCCAAGGCCCCGCGGCCCAACTTGGCCAAGGCGCCGCAGGCGGTCCAGCGGTCCCGGGCCTTCGGACTCTGCAGCTTCAACGCCTCCGGTCCGACGGTCCGACGGGGGAAGCCGGGGGCGCCCAGGCGTCGGAAGCTCGCTTCCGTGAATTTAGCAGAGAGGGGATGGACTGGGTGTTTCCTACTGAAAGAGGCATTTTAAGGTGCCGAAACCTCAGACAGGCAACTGCGACCAGGGGTTGCCAGCAGGAGAAACTCTGCCGGAGATGTGTCGAATTCTGCGGAAATCCGCAAACAGGAAATAATGCAGGAACTAACCCAGACCCTTGTCGTTGGCGGCTGCAACTTCCTGTAGATTTTCCGGCTAGCCTTCTACTTATTCTAGCCTATGCTAAACAATCTCCCTGGGCCGCAGAAGAAAACAAAATATGATCTTTGCAAAGCGGAACCTTTGCAGAGGATCCCCTGAAAAACCCATCCTTCGCTTTTCTCTGAAGGCCCAAGGTCAAGCCAAGTTTTGGGGCGGCACCAAAAGAAAGGTGGAGTCAAACCACCAAAGGATCTGCGAGCAACATGAGCCCAAGACACTAAAAACACCCTGGCACCCGTCTCAGGCTAAGCCCAAATGGTATGGAAGACCAAAGAGCGCCCATGGAGTCCCCGTAGCCTCTGCTGGCTCAATGCATACACCTCTACTGGACATATGCTGTGTTTCCAGGGGTGCTTGATGATGTCCATACCCCTCTCCCCAACAGGAGTACATACCCCTTCTAAAGTGGGTCGGAAACCAGGGAAGCCAAGGGGTATGAACAGGTATGTACTTCCACCCTTGAAGTGTTTATATGCATATATGTGCACAACTATACAGATACATGGGCGTGTATCAAAATCAGGCCTCCGACAGTTCTACAGCAAAGCAAAAGCACGTGTAGACGGAGTCACGCGGTTCCCACATGAAGCTTTCTTCGTTACCCGTTACGCACGACCTCAAGATGTCCAGCCCAAAAACATCCCTCACCAAATGGAACTCGTACAATCGGCCTTTCCAACAAACCGACATGTGCATCGACTCAACAAACGCGGTTTCAGGTGCCCTCGGGACCCGTTGCATTCATAGGTGTCCTAGGGGAAATAGATGATTAAACCACCAGGTAAACCAGGGCCTCGATTTTTCCACCACCACCAAAAAGCACACCTATTGCATTTCGGCCCCCCTTCGGCTGAGTGCGGACTGAGCCCGCCAGCTCGCTGACCGACACCCCGAAGCCCTCAGGCATCTCCGCGAGCTGCGGGTCCCGGAGCTTCGAAGGCGCTTAAGCGGATGTGTGTCTGTATTGTATATATCATCTCTACTCGTATCGCAGCAAAAAGCTTGGCTTTTTGCAGAGCCCCAGTAAAAATGAACAGAACCCAAAGACTAAAACACATGCCAAGAATAGTGAAGTTATATATATATATATAATGTATTTGCTATTGCTGTTTTTTTGGTGCGTATGTGTGTGTGTGTGTGCCTTTTTCGGAGGGTATTCTTTGGGGTTGTCTTGAGTGGTCTTGCAGGGAAACAAATACCGCCCCACTGAAAGGATGATCGTTGTCCATGGCACATAACAGACAAATAAGAGCGGCGCAAAGGGTGATGTTCAAACAAGCATGGTACAATATGGCGTTTCCAACTGGCTGGCAACCACAGAGACACCAGTGTCTGAGGCTGTTGGCTGCTAAGTCGCGTCACAGGTCCGCGGTGACTTCAGCGACTGGCATCTTCTGTTGTTGGAGTGGCCCAGCTTGAGCCTATTCTACATACTCGGCGCGGCGGACACGGCAGCATGATCCAATAGAGTCCAGCTATGACTGGCCGTCAAAAGCTGTACAAATGCAGACACAAATTTCTTGCTTCAAAACCCGCTGGAATGGACTTTAAATAACATGTGTCCGCAGGCGCTGACAAGCAACAGGTCCACGTCCACGATCGTTGGGCCAATGGGCGCAGGGGCTTTTTGAGGAGTGTTTCAAGAGGCATCTAAAGGGGAACCACTGATTCATTTGCTGACCAACCCATGTCTTCTCAAGAGCCTTGCACACAGAGCCAGAAACCAGACACCTGGTCGCAAATAAAGCAAAGCAAAAGCTTTGCCTTGGGGAAATTCTGGACTTTATACTCTTCCGCAGCTTGTCACGGAACCCAAGAACCCAAAAAGCCATCCTTTTTACAGGTATCTCTCGTTGGTTTACCCAGAGAATAAGCAGGGGAGAGTAAGCAGCCATCAAGCCGAAAAGGGCAGCCACCTTCGATGGTTCTCAAAATTGTCGGAACCCCAGAGGCTTCAGTTTTGGCGTCCTTTCCAACAAGCTCCAATAGCTTCGCAACACAGACCGGCCCCATTGCTCACTTCAGTTGGCCGAGGCTTGAAAGCAAGCGCTTTGACCGGCCCGTTCTCGTAAAAACTGAACCCAAATGCAATAATTAAACTTGTCGGACTCATTGGGAGTGTGAGCTGTTGAAAGTGGGCGTTCCCTCCAACATGGGCACGCCCCGGCTTATCCACCGTGTGCACGTATGTATATATATATATATATGTGTGTGTGTGTTATTTTACAGAAAAGGGTTAACATTGCGTCTCAACCAATGGTCCAAGCGAGTCCTCATCGAAGTTGAGCTGCACCGATTCTTTGAAGATGCAGTCACTCCCCGCATTGTTGTGGACCTGCCAGGCTGATTCGGCAACAGCCCAGACTGAGAAGTTAGCCTAGCACTATATAAGCGACAGCTGTTTTTGCAAACACGTTTGGCCCAGCCAGTCGCGAGCATTGGACAAGAGAGCCCGCTTTTTATTTGCCCACAAAGCCCAACTCCCTCTTGTTTTCTTGAAACCTATTTGAGACGAAGCAGACTCTGCTTTGAGTTTCCCCCAAATTGGGCATCAATCTGGGTCCCCCCAAACCCTCCCGAGAAAAACGGAAGCACAAAACGCTGGACCCATGGTTGCCAGTTACTCAAGCAATTTAGCCACCGATTGGGACCCAAGGAAGTATGATTGGCACCACAGGATGTAGGCCAAACGGTGCGCAAGACCAACATGTGTCTTAAAAACTGGAAGCCCCTGTTGAGGTGGAACCGTTCTTTCTTGCAACCATGCCTTCAAACAAAGACCCTCATGTCAGGGCGCCTGCTTTCCCTTCAACATTCGAGGCTCATTTCGGTGTCACAGTTCATGCTTTGAAACATTTCCACCATCACCTTTTTCAGGAACTGACAATATTGTTGCTAGTGATGGCGTAATGTTGACTCTGGACTTGTCAACCCTCGTGGGTAACCTTCAGAGGGGACGCAAATGGGACAAAGGAAAACCAACAGGCAACTCTTGATTTTTTCAGGGACGACCATTTTTCGGTGGCAAACCAACCGTTGGGACTTTTGGGCCAGTCCACTGCTGGGACTTTCTGAAACGCTCACAAGAACTTCAGTTGACTTGCCCGAGGGCTGTACAAAAGAAGCTCCTCCCTGGCAGAAGGCCCCTTGCTGCCTCAGCTTTTGCCCACCAAAATGATACTTTTGATTCTGGACTACATTTGGCGAACCTTGTGAAAGACAGGAAAAGAACCGCCTGTTTTTACCTGAAACTCCAAATGACACACACAAACAGAGAACGGTCCCAGCTTCACCTGAAACCGACCCAAAAGACCCGCGGTTGGTCCACCCCTTGGCACCCTGGTGCGGGTGGTCTCGTTGTATCCCAGGTACACCTCCACGAAGACCTCGAAAGGCCACGGCGTCTGACTCGTGGGGTGGGTCAAAACCGTGGCAACGCTTCCATCGAGGGGTTTCCTCTTGGCTTCCTTAAAAAAACAACCCCCTTTCGCCGAAAATAAGAAAAAAGCCCGAACGGGTGACCATATGGATGGTTTCTAACTCAAATGGCTGGGCAATCCATGGGCTCCAGGTGGGCTTTATATATATATATAAATATATATATATATATATTATTTATATATATATATATATATATGCCTCAAGGTGGGTGACCCATGGCAAATAGAACATGCATATTTTGCGGGTGATCATCTCATGGGCATGTGGGTATCTCATTGCGTGTGTTTCGTGTTCCGCTGAAAATGGGCGCGAGTGGGATCCCAAATTCAAAGGAAGGAGGGTACCATGGCTAGGGGACCAACCCCCCTAAACCGTCAGACCACTGTAAAGGAAACCACCATCTGGCATAAGACCTAAGGGTTGATCTTCACCGACCCAAGCAAGGTCACTTCCCCAACCTCTGAAACCAGCCAGATTAGCCAAGACTTTGTTGAGGTGGCGCGCGAATGTGGTTTTTACAACCCCGGGTTACAACAAAACACCTCCTGACATCCCAAAAGATCGCGCCAGCCGAGGTCCGCGCGTTGTTTGCTGCGAAGAGGTCAGCCGAGGGAAGATCCTCTACTTTCCAGATGAGCAACTGGCCGGCGCGTGCGAGGCTGCTCCGCGGATGGCCAGCCGACTATTGGGGCGCCTTCTGGGGAAGTGACCTGGGCTGTGCGGTTGGTCAGTCTATGTCGTCCAGCCCCAAGTTGGGAGCTCAAACTCTTTGCCTCTTCAGACAACGAATTCTTAGAATGCCTGACATCTCAGGAGCCCTCGGTGGCCTTGTGCCCGCCCCTTTCCCCCCAAACCACATATTAGCAAGGTCATGTCTTCCTTAACCCTTCCACCAAACCCCTTTCTCCCAAACCCGTGGTGGGAAGCTCCCGTGTTTTGCCACTTCTCGCTTCCTTTCGCGCGTGTCCCCACGGGCTCACGGCGCAGATCTTCCTCGATGCGCCTCGATGGCTTTGAAGCGGTTCGCGGTGAAGCAGCTCATGCAGTCCCGGGCCTCGCCAGACGCGTGCGTTCCAACGGTTCCGAGCGGAAGAAAAAAAACGCGAAAGGGTTCCGAGCTGCAAATGGGGGGGGTGAATTTAAATAGCGGACCCTCTGGTGGACACCGTTTAGGTGGGGATTTATGTCCAGCCACTTTTGAAGTGGACCTTTATTACAATTCATAGCTAAGTGAAAACACGAGAAGGGGATCCCTAGAAAAATTTGGTTTTAGCCACGGTCAAACTTTGAAACCACAAGTCCAAAGGAGTCGAATTCCCCTGAGATGTCCCATGTAGAAATAAGAAAGGCTCCCTGATTTTGAACGCCCACATAGAATCGTATGCACTGTCCGAAATTGGGACCCTTCCACGCTATCCAAAAAGCGCCCAACCAGTTTGAGGACACTATCCAGGTGCCATCCCAAAAATTATCAGTTCGAAAAAAAGAGATTCGCATGCCTCGAAGAGGAGTCAACTGCCACTTTCAGATGGCCTGTTGATATTTCCAGTAGGGTTGCTTTTCAAGATCGGCTCGTTCTTTGATGCTAGGGTTTTGAGCTCAGTGGTTGGCTTGTATTTGGTTGTATGTTTCCGTCGTGCTGATCTTGACTGCTGGTGTTTCGCAGTATGTGGGTGTGTTCTTCTCTTGATAGCGCGGATTCGCGCTTCCCTCTGAGAACCAGCACGAGAGATTGGCTGCATGGTTGCGGGAAAGTAAAGTGGGCCCATCCCTATGAATACTTCGTCACTCTAAAAGGGGGGGATTCTTGGAATCACAGAACCTGGCGAACTTGAACCCAAAGCATCTGTGTCTGTTATCGGCTTGTTTTTTGTCTTTCTTTGTTGGATTGAAGAGAAACCAAAAGGAAAACGGGCTCCTCAAACAAGACACACCCATATGGCAGATTCATGGTCTGGGAACCCCATTCATGGTTGTCGAAACTCTCAACCGGTCCCCGACCATCCCTACCAACTCCAAGCAGGTACTTTGATGATCATGTCTGCACGCATGGAAGCCAACCAGGTCAGTGCCCCCATAGGCCAACCAAAGCAAGGGCCCAATCAGCCGGCCTGATCCAACCCCATCACAATTACACCTTGTCAACCCCTTTGGGCGTAACCACGCGGACATGGTTAGGGCAAGGTCTGAAGCCTCATTGTCCACTGATACCCTCGACTGGCTACGTGGTGACAACCCAACCGACCCGACCGACGAACCAACCAAACCAACCAAAACCAATCAAAACAAAACAAAACAAACCAAACCAAGCAACCAACCAACCAAGCAACCAACCCAGCCAATACCACCTTACCTTATCTTCCCACTACCCATGCAAGCCGGCCCCTCAAAAGCAAAACAGAAATGACAACTCATCACCACTCCAGAGCTTGTTTGGGACGATACCTCAAGGACTTCAGCTGTGGAAAATCAAAACGGCGCCTTGCAGTTGAAGATCTGTTTGTGGTCCAGGCCCAGCATCAGCGCGATGCGCTCCTTGAACGCCACCTGCCACTGGCGTTTTTTGGTTCTTCATGATATGGTGTTTTTGTTTGCATTTATGCTGTGTGCGTGTCTTGCGTTTGGCTCAATCTCGACTTGCTTCTGTTCGACGTTCGACCCCACACTGCATGGGCCTGCGCTGAACGCCTTTTCCCCCGTAAGCACACGGCCACTTAGCCTCATCTGTTCATTGAAGCCATTGCGGTGATTTGTACTTGTTCGATTGTCATCTGCGCGTGTGTTAACGACGCATCCCCATCCTCAGCCTTGTTGGCTTGGACATTTCTCAGGTGGCTGCTACGTGCGTTGGGTCAGAAACGCAGACCACTGGCAGTTGCCAAGTTTCCTTGCTTTTGCTGCATTTGCATTGCGTCTAGGGCTTGGTTTCCATCAGCTTAGATGGCTTCCTGGGATCTTCCTGGTGCTCCAAGGCCTCAGCGCCCTCATGTGGATTTCAAGCTTTGTCACGCCCAGACTGTGTCTTTCTGGCAAAAACTGGGACGGTGTGACCAGTCTCCCACTGGTGTCGAGCACGCGTTGCCAAGTTGCATGGCCAAAGACTCATTGGAATATCCCAGACAAATGTGTCAGTTGTGTATTGCATCGTATTGCTTGGTCCGGGAACCCACAAAAGCACAGTGGAATATCCCAGAGAAATGCCTGGGGCGCATGTGGCGAGGCGTTGTGACAAACGAACAAGATGGCATTGCTGTCAGGCATACCCTGTAGCCTTGGCACCAACATTGAACATTATACTGTATTATGCATGACAACATCCAAACAACGGCAAGGCACTGCTGGGTCGGGGCCCCTGAGCGGTGTAGTTTGTCCTGTTCCATATTTCTTGGGCACCCCTGCAACAGGGGAAACGACTACCATTGTCTGTGGTTTTGCCTCCTTTGCCTCCACCTTTCGCATGCGCATTACTCGGAGGCGGTACATGTTTCATATCTACCTACGTATGTACGCGTATATGACTCTATATACATATATACAAATATATATATATATATATATGTATACACATATGTAACTACATGTTGCTTCAGCCCCATGTACATATATATGTATGCATGTGTAGATATATATATATATATATGTTTTATCATGTGCGGGTTTGTATATATCTACGTGTGTATACATACAACTGATCATCAGATATCGATTTCCTTTTTGCTTTTGGCGGCTCAGCGCAACATCGCCCTTCCGGTCGCGGGCGGGGGAACCGGCTCGAGGGCTCAGAGCTCCAGGCGCTTGGCTGTCTTCTCCTGCCTGACCTGCGGGCATTGGACGGTGAATCAAACTGCTCCTCCTTTGATGGTGCAACCCCCCGCCCGCCAAACGCGGAAAAATGTGTGCAGGTAGTGGGAAAACCCGCTTCTGCAAAAAGTAATAAAGGTTAAAGATCCAACCCAATAGCATTCAAGCTAATGTGGATGGACAAGTCTTGCACCAGTTGGGATGGAAGAGATCCTGTGAATACTGGAATAAGGTAAAATGCATCTGGTCCATCCATGGTACCCCCCTCCACCCCACAAACACTCGCTCGTGTTTTTTTCTTGCTTTCCCGAGGATTGCTTCGGAGTGGAGGTGGTGTGTTTGGGAAGGGCTTTGAACAGGGAATACCACTTTTGTGCAGAGCCCCCCATCATGAAAAATGGCCCTTTGCTGCCAAAGTGGGATTCCAAAGTGGGATTCCCATCCCCAGGACTAGTTGCAGAGGCTGGATATAGCACAACTTGTTGAAGCGGTTGCCGCTATCATCCCCGTGTGGCCCCTCTTTTGTATTGCTATCTCCATTGTTGCCATTGTCCCTCCATGGCCATATAAATATGACCTCCGTGAGTAACCAGTGTTAGCCATCATCATCTCTGTTATCAACGGTTTCTTTTGTTTTTTGGTTCTTTGGTTTTTTGGTTTTTTGGTTTTTGGGTTTTTTGGTTTTTTGGTCCAGGGAAATGTTGCGCAACAAATTCCAAATGTTGCGCAACATTTGCGGAGCATGATGAGAGGATGTGTGAACCTTTGTGAAAGAAGGCATGTTCTGGGTGAGGGGATATGTGAATTTTCTGTAGAGAAGAGTTATTGAAAAAGACATGTTTTGTGTCAGATGATATGTGAGTCTTTGTGGAAGAGTCAGGGTTACAGTGAGCAAAAGACCGCAAATATCATGTAAAACCACCATTTATGTAACACAAACTGTCCTTGAAAGAAGGCATGGTTTGTGTGGGAAGATATGTGGATTGAATTTTGTGTGGAAGAGCCATTGAAAAAGGGCATGGGTTTGGTGAGAGGATATGTGATTCCTTGTGAAAGAAGGCATGCAAAAAGACATGTTTTGGGTGAGAGGA